CTTGCGCTTGCTTGCAATAACGCGCTGTACCGTGCTCCTGCCTGAGTAGACTCTTTGTCTGGCAGACTGGTCTTCTCACTGTCTCTCTTACGGGCTCTTGGCGTACCGGTTCGTGCTGATTAGAAGTACCAAGGCGGGTCATAACAGTTAACCTAGTAAATCATTTTTGTTCAGTAGATGACTGATCCAAACACTCGAAACTTCTGACTTGTCTTAAAGGTGTCTTCCTCCCTCTCAACTGTCGTAAAAGCTGCCACATTTGACCGGTGCCATGAGCCTGACAAATTTATGTAGTCCTGTGTAACCCTGGTTCTTCGTTTTTTTCTCAAGAGCGGTGTGGTTCCTCGAAGGCACTGGGAGTCCATAATCACAAACATCGTATCAATGCACATGATTGTGGAAGAGGAGAGTCTGGAATTCAGACGACAGCTGCGACGTGATAACTACGTCACTGCAACTAACTACATCGGCTTCATTCAGGGCTACAAGGCCCTTCTGAGAGACAAAAATGAGTGAGTTCCCTTTCGGCTTTTAAGAGGAAACCTTTTGACTTATTTAACCCATACATATTACTGTCGAAATCTTAAAGTGTATTAGAAAAAAATCTAATCGGTCTCACAGAAAGGCCACATATATTTATTGATCCGCTTGGTGAAGAAGTGTCGGCAACATGGACCAATCAGATATGACGAAAAATCGATAGCCACGACGTGCGCTCTTATAGCAGCACCGTGGCAACTGACACGGGCGCCTTTCTGTGCGATGACTGATCGTGGGAATGAAGGCACTCCCAACAACACTAGCCAATGGGATGGCTCGGCTCTACCATAATGTGCTCTTATTAGTATGTCCTGGATGGTGCCCCGAGCTATGTGCTATCCCATTCTTCCTTACTGAAGACTGGTTCGTGTGAAAGAAAGAATCAGATCGCCTGTGTCACGTATAGATTGGCCCCTCAAACTTTGTTAGCCATCACAATGACGCCCAGCTCCTATTACCGTGCGATTTGAACGTGGGGATCAAATTCACGTCCTCTAGCTCGTGTCCGTGGTAGAGTTAACTGTTTAGTGTGGGTGACTGTGATTGACAAAAATGTCACCTTAAAATTAGAGACGGCTGAAGTGGTCAGCCTAATCTATGCTGTAAAGCTAATCTCCAGAAACAAAGTCGTCGTTTCCTTCACTGGTGGGGACCGTTATACTTAGGTCTGCCAGTTTCCACTGATATATGTATTCCGTCTAAGATAGACGTGCTTCAATTTGCCTTTATCCCACTTTCTCCAACCCAGCCGCCTAGGCGCCCCCGTTCCTTGTGCCCATCTTGATGATCATATTCGTAACTTCATCTCCAGGAAGATTTCGCCATGGTGTGGTAGGAGCAGGCCACCATCCTTTCTCACAAGTCGGAATGGTGTGTAATGCACCTTCATAGAACCACTGATCAGCTCGTAATACAGATTTGATCGATAAAAAGATAATCAACATCGCGCATGTTCACATTGACACTGAATGTCATTTTGGACACTCTCTAGTAGATATCGCACTAATACAGCAGCAAATGGAACCGTCACTTTTTATTTGACGGAAGAAAGTGACTGCGAATTCTAACTATACCTATTTTACCACTATTTTCCCCCTTCTCTAAAGAGAAAATATCCAGGGTCAGAATCGACTCAAGGTGGGTCTGGAGAAGTTGCAGGAGACCGCAAAGCAGATCGACGAACTGAAGGTGAAGATGGCTGTGCAGAAGGTGGTGCTGGAGGAGAAGACCAAGTCCTGCGAGGTGCTTCTGGTGGAAATTGAAGAGTCCACAAAGACTGGTACTGAAAAGAAGACCGAGGCGCAGGCGAAGTCTGTGGAGGTCGCTGCACAACAGAAAGTCATCACGAAGGAGAAGGTTGGTTGGTGGTTTTTTTTAATCGGAGGACCCATTGTCCGCCATGAAATTGCCCGGAGGGTTCTTTAAACTGGTCAGGTCCCGCGGCGGCAACTGACACAACCGCTCGCGGGAGGGCCGC